ATCAGCTCGTTTCTGTAAGAACAAAAAGTCTAGCAGATCTGGAGCATCTAAAAGTAGCTGAACTGTTGCTGAATGATTACATCAGAAGAAAAGAGAAGAATCTTGAAACTGATTTAAGTCCCAAATTAACTTTATGTCTCACCAGACAATGGTGGATTTTATCTTTTCATAAATGTTTCTGAACTGCAATATTCTATACAGTACATTTAAACTTTCTTAACTAAAATACAAAAATGTACATATCTGAATTTTATATTTTATGTTTTTTTTTCTACAGTTTTAGTGCAGTTTTTGGAGTTTGTTACAATTAATGTTATCATCCAACTAATAAATAACTAGCTAATCAACAATAGTCAATATTTATTCACATTTGTTGAATTGGCATTGAAATTGTTGAATTGCTTGGTAATTGTTAATTCTGGCAATTGGTGATTGTGACCCACTAACGATCTCTACTTTGATGTTGCAGACTCAAAGCCACAGTGATCGTCTGAAGTAAACGTATGAAGTGAGAACTGTACGCAGATAGAGGTAGGCAGGGTTTGCGGTATATCAAACCAACGGGGGGGTCCCCAGGCTTGAGTTTCTTGTGTATTTGCACTCGTGTCTTCTCTGTATACCATGTGTGTACATGACATGTGAATTACGGCTGGGTGCTGGAAAGCGATCCGTCACCCTCGACATGGCGGATTGGTTGCTCTCCTGACGTGCCTTCCAGCTGGGCTGATTTACAAGCTGCTGACAGACTTCCTATATAGAGCAGGAACATTCTTCACCATTGCGTTGAGAGATCCATTTCAACCCACAGTGTGGCCATTGGCCAATTTCATACTTTAGCCAATCCGCTGCTCAGAGAACAGCCGTGTGTCAACTTTACTTTGACGTGCTATTGCATCAAACAGCTGTATCTCTATATAAAAAAAAAACAAAAAAAAAAACAATCAGGGCCAAAAACTTGAATATGGTGAAAGACCTTTCACTAAAATGCAATTAAATGTGCGCACCATCACTCAGTAAGGGTTGCTGAGTGCATAAACTTGTTTTAGTCACAAAACTGTACAAATAACTGTTATATGACTGATTCATAATGAATCAATCATAATATAATTATTATAGAAAGCGACTTAAACTATTTGTTAGTGTGTCAAAAATGACGCAAACTATGGAATTCTTATAAACACTGGTTAAAAATTTTAGAGGGAAAAACAAAACATTGTTCAAATTCCTGTACTTAATGTCTTCTGCGCTTCATGCCAAATCTGCTCAATAACAGACTTTAAAAACACTTGAATTGAGACACACCTTGCAATTATCTTGTCGCAACATCTCACTCTGAACAATGGCACACTATCTCTGCTCCTGTATGCAGGCACAAACGTGATTTGGAAAGTTGACTTTTTTTCAGGAAAATGTTTAAATAATAGCAGGCTTTCTGAATGGGGCTATGCGAATGAGAAACATGTCCTAATAGATGAACACATTAGCTGTCAATCTCTCAAATAACCTGCTCTCGATTAAATATCAGCATGACACATACAGAGGGAAGAACTCGATTTTGATCTAAGTGAGGAGACTGTTGTGACTGACAGGATATTGTTGTAATACCGTCAAAAGCAATTGTGATGCTGTGTATAATTAACATATGCTCAATAAAAGCATCTTAGGGATGTAACGATTACCGGTTTGACGATAAATCGTGATAAAATACCCCACGGTTAGTATTACCGTTTCATATTTTAATTATCACTATAACCGTATTCGATTACCGCGATTTGAACAACTGAGTTTCTGTTGCATGTGAGAAACATCAAATGGCAAATGAAACGGAAAGCATAACGAAACCGTGCGACTCGTTTGAGCTGCGCAGCGCTTCGAGTGTAGAGCCTGGTTTATTAACTTTTAGAAATTTTCATACCGTTACATCCCTAAAGCATCTCAGACAAGGTATTTAGCATTTCTTGGTACAGACACAACTTTGTGCTCTAAAGAGGGAGATTTTAGACTAAATAATTATCCTACTGCACTGGCGGTGGGGTGCCAAACAAAGCCTGGTTAAATAGTCTGTCAGTAGCATGTAAGCAGAGAAGATCAGACTCAATAAGAGCACTCACACATACACACAAACAGATGCAAACACACCGTGGACAGATAATTCCCATAATCACAGATTAATACTGCCGGATAATCCCGCTGACAGAGAGGTCAGCACTCATAAACCAGCACGCACTAACAGACTAGACTTCATCTACACACATACACCACATCTCACATTCCTGAAGATCAGCTGGTGACAATGCACAATGCGCTTCCATCACTTAGATTGCACTGATTATATCTTTCTTTTGTCAATGCACTTTTCCAATCAGTATGTTTACAATAATTTTATGATAATAATAATATTCACAAGAAAATAAAATGTATAATAGTACATTATTATAATAATAACTATTATTAGTCTTACATATAGAATTATTAATGTTTTTCACATTAAGTTTTTCACATTCTCTATTTCTCCTGTTTTTATACAGTATAAATTAATGTATTATATACATTTTAAATCTAATTACAAATGTATTATTTAATTATTACTCAGAATTAATAATAATAATACTAATACTAATACTACTAATAAAATGTTCTTATATATAACATTTCACATTTTTTTTCCATGTTAAGTTTATAATATATAAATAATTTTTTATATTAATTGAACATTTATATATAATTATTTATACATGTTATTTACGACATTAATATTAATACTTAATAAAAAAGTATTTTCTTTTTTTAACAATTTTGCAAATTTATGTTTTATTGATATTCGGAATAATAAAAAAAAGTTATTGGAAAACAAGACAAATATATTGATTAACTGTTTTGCAGTGATGATAAAAGTGTGCTCATCAAATTTGTCATTGAAAAATACATGCCTCAAGCAAATGTGTTAGATTTGCCTACATCGCATGTCAAAAACAAAGGAATCCAATGGACCATTTTATAGCACTATAACTGTTGAAATGTAACATTAACAAGAGCTCAAAGCACAAATATATGAATTACTTTACTATATCCTACAAGACATCTTCTGGCATTTATCCATTACAGGTACTTAACATTCTTTTACGAGAGGCAAACAGAAGTGTAATTCTAAGTGTAAGTGGATGATTTTGGCCATCCTCACAGCCAAGTGTCAGCTGCATTGTATATCACAGAGACAGCAAAACATGACGGATTCATCCTGCAGCTGGTGACTGCCTCTCCGCGGCCGCCTGATTGTGCATTGATCGTGTAATGTGGGAGTGTCTCGCTTCTCTCAGGCTCCGAGCGCGCCAGACACACTGAACTCCGGTGTGTGGTGTCGGGTGGCCGCCTCTGTCGCCATCCTGCCTGTCACTGGGTTTTCGCTGGGGCTGCACTTTCTCAAATCCCTGACCTGACGTGCATATCTCTTCTCTCTATTTTTTTTCCTTTCGCTCTTTCTGTGTGTGTTTGCGTGATGGATGTAGACAGATAAAGAGAGAAAGAGTGTGTGGCATCAAGGAGGACAGAAAACGAGAGGGACGGAAGATGGGTTTATGAGACTGAGCCCTGCCACTGTCGTCTGTGTGTCTGGGGTGGCAGACGCCCTTATGATAGAGGTAAGATGGATGCCCCCATGATGCACTGAGAGAGAGGAAGTCTGAGTCATATCTGCTTCCAGCCATTTCTTTATCAGCCGCTGCTCTGAATGCAACCACTGGTACAAACTCTGCTTGATTTGAAATATTGGAGATATCACTGAAACGGAGAAATATTTCAGCTACCAAACAAACAAGCCATGTGAGTGTTACTAACAGCATACTGCCACTATCTCAGCAATTTACTGCAAAAATACATGTATTAATCAGTATTTTTGTCTTGTTTTCGAGTAAAAATGTCTGACATCCTTAAAACAAATGTAATTACTGGAAGTAAATTAAAAAGTAAAAAATAATATACATAAATAAATAAAATAATTTTATTGTTATTGTTAATTATTAATAATCATTGTTTTGTTAACTGAAAAAAAAAATAAAATAAAAAAAAATAAAACAAACATTAACTGAAAAACTTTTAAAAAAGAGAGAGAAATGTTGTCTTGGTGACTAACTGAAAAGAGCTGTAAAATTAACTAAAACTGAAATGGAAATAAAAAATAAATTAGAAATAAACCCAAAAACTAATAAAAAAGACAATAACAAAAGACACATAACACATACTAAAACTGAAATGAAATCTGAAAGCATAAAAATAAAAACTATTTCAATGAATACTGTAACAGTATATAAATACTGCTAAAATACCACTGCTTTAAAGTATAAAGACAAAAATATTAATTAAGAAAACAATTTTTGCAGTGATCTAAAAAGAGAAATATGAACAAAAAAAAATGTTTCTGGAAGCCCCAAGGTGTCCCACAGTAACCATGGTTCAAATGGACAGTTTATCTTCATTCTCAACAGCGAGCCATGTCAGGCCTTTCTCAAATGAAGTACACTCACACACCTCAACCCCGGCGTTTGCGGGCCATCTATCTCTGTTTGGCTGATGCCCGTCCGCAATTCACTTTGACAAATGTACAAGAACAGGACACTCAGCTTTGGCTGAGAAGGTCAGGATTTCAAACAGAGCTGATTACAACGCGATGCTGCTCTGCTGATGGATGATTGTTGGAAAGTGAACTCTGGCGGCTTATCAATGAATTATTCGGGGGTGTTTCTGGCACGCCGAGAGCTTCACGTGTAAAATCGTCAGGAAAAGACAACCTCGGGAAGTTAAATCGTCTTAAGGAGATGAGTGAGTGTCGGACAAAGGAAAGTGAAAGGATGCTAATGCATGGCCGTGCGCTGTGATTGCATAATGCCGCAATTAAAAGATTTCCTGTCACATCGCTAAATGAGAAATGTGGATTCATTACAGGCAGAGTGTCTGTAGCAGTGATGAGTGAGAAGAAACATCGCAATGACAGAAGCGGTTCTCACCTGCCGACTTAGGGGTGAACTTGTCACGGTTTGCCGCACACACGGCCAGGAGCCGATAGCCGAGGTCCAAGTCAAAACCCTGCTGCGCTGCCACACGACTTACAACCTGCGGAAAGAGACCATATGAGCTTTAATGGGTCTTTTTGTACTCACGCGCTTCATCTGCATGTGTGTGTCCATTATTCGCATTCACAGGAGAGGTGCAAACAGAGTTCTCCACTAAAAGACTGAAGAAAAATCAAGCTGAAATGTTCTAAACACACTCTTTAGCATTAAGGCTATTGAATTTTTCAATGGTCTACATGAGCTATGTGCAATTAAGCTTCCTTGAAATTCTACCCCAGACTCCCATGAGAGAAGCGAGAACCAGCGGTATACTCGCATTACCCGGCTACCACCCCCCTCTTCCTTGTACACCAAATATCTCTCCAAAAACTACTCATAAAAGAGCAATTTCCCTTTTTTAGTGCAATCATATCAAATATTTATATACGTGCATGAATAATGCACTCAAAGATAAAACAGCCACCTCCACTGATGCAGAATAGTGTTAAGACTGTGTTGATATTTGCAGGGCACGACTGATGAGCTTTCCCTAGAGATCTGTCCGACTGGTGTGCAGACGTCTGTGTTTGTTCTCTGAATACCCCCTGATCCGCAGAGACCACAGCCCGCACTTGGCCCCTTGAACTCGTAACTCCAGCTTCTTTCAAAGCATCTTGTGATCTTTCGCGAAACAATTCAACAGCGTGTAAATAAAACCCTAAAGCCACATGTAAGACAGAGATGGTAGGTGACAATGTTACACACAGAATACATAACTCTGGCTTAACCTGTGGAATCTCTTAAAGGGACTGAACACCCAAAAATGTCATTTACTCACCCTCATATTGTTCCAAACCTGCATGACTGACTTTTACCATAGAACACAAAAAGAGAAGTTAACCAGAATGTTCAAGCTGCTCTTTTCCGTACAATGAAAGTCAATGGTGACCAAGTTGCTATCAAACTTAAAATGATAAACCACTACCAAAAAGTGCCATAACAGCAATCCATATGGATACTGGGGCTGTATATTCCAAGTTAAATAATACCCCGCAAAACTTATTCAGTCCCTCTCTGTGAAAAAAATAAAATAAAATAAAAAAAACATTTCACTTGTGACATTTTATTGTCTTTTTTGGAGCTTTACAGCCCCTGGTCCCCATTCACTGAAAAATAGCAGTGAGAAAATTCTGCCAAACATCTTAATTATATTCCACAAAAAAAGTAATATGGGATTAGAACATCACAAAATGTGAGTAAAAAAAAGACTGAAATTATTTTTGGTAACCTATTCCATTAAAATGATACAACAGGAAAGCTTAAATATTTTAGACCACAGGCTGACAATGACAAAAAAAAAAAAAAAAAACATTTACAGGTGTTTAAGACACCTATTTTTCATTTTAAAGTTATGGGTTTAAATTGCTCTGAATAACATTCCATTTGAAAGAATTCATTTGGTCTCCCCTTTCACTCTCTATTATTCTATCCATCAAAAAAGACACAACCAATATAAAACGAGAGGCATTCAACCTTTTGTAATATCTGCTGTAAAATCTGAACGAGGCTGCACATGATGTTTAATGACTCATGTATCACACTGCTGCAGCTGTGCACTGCATTTATCCACTTACTAACCTTCTCAATTCTTAACACCCGGCGCTTGACGTGCAATTTGTGTTCCACATGGGGTGCAAACGTGACTCTTCTTAATCATAAATTGTCATACATCTGCTACCAAGGCGGTGCAACAAAAACGACAAATCAAACCTGTGCTGACAGATCTCTATTCATGATTTAATGGTCAAATAACAGCTTAACGGGATTCTAGAATGGCATCTATGAAAAAAAACTTTTTTTTGGACAGGCAGCGCCGCTGCGCTCTTGCCAAACTTTAATTTCCCTTCTGCAGCTGCACTTGCCAAACGCAGCAGCCAGGCTTGCTGCCACGAGGGCTGGTATAGATTCCACTGGCGTTTAGAAATGCATCCTCTCATAAGCCTTTTCCACATAATATCTCTTTTCAGAACGCAGGCCTAAAATATTAAGTGATTCAACAGAAAAAAATATCAGAATCACTGAGCCACGCAAATCTCCTCAGTTACAGTTTTGCTAAAGGGCCGAGGGCACACAAACAGTGACGCGCAATATAATACACAAGAAAAAAATGGCCATTTATTTCTTTCCAGAGTGAGGCCCATAGCACTGCAGATATGCAGGGTTGACAAGAAAAGACAGTGGGACAGCAGAGAAAGTTGTCATCGCTAAAGCTACTGACAGTTTGGAGATGTCATTTATCATTTGGCTGAGTGCAGATATTGTGCAGCTGGGAGACAATAGAAAAACAGCTCCATATGCAGGTCTGCGGAGAGCAGAGAGCTACCTGCTGCCTGAGGGGCAACGTGTAAGACATGTCCACATCTGTCAGCCAACTTTCTTATCTCCCCAGTTCTTTCATCTCTCCACCATCCTCACCTGGGGAGAAGAACCTCTCCGCTACTCTCTGAGGGACCCCCAATGCATCAGACAAATTAATTACAATATACAGAGCACAAACATACTGCACATCCTTTTGGAGTGAACGCGTGTGGTGTGAAGACGGTGTCTAGGGACACACTGTCATGTACACACATGACACCAACTCCAGAGAGAGAGGTTGAACCAAACTCAGGCTGTCAGAGCGGTCTGGAATACCTGGAGAAAGCTGTCCGTTAACATTCCCATTCATCTCAAAGGCAGTAGCTCGGCTGGTGCAGAGACCCCTTTGTGATGCAGTCAGGTTAGTCAGGTTGTTTTGAGCTAATGCCATGTGACTAATCAAAAAATTATATCTTTAAAATACTGATTGGTTAACGACATTAAACACACACACAAAAACCCCAAACCTTTCATTAGTGACTATTCTGAGCTGTGACATAAAACTGCACGCACACTACCAGTTATTTTGAATAATTAAGATCTTTTAATGTTTTTGAAAGAAGTCTCTTATGCTCACAAAGGCTGCATTTATGTGATCAGAAATGCAGTAAAACAGTTAATATTGTGAAACATTAAAATTTTAAATAAGTGTTTTCTATTTTAAAATAGAAAAAAAAAATTTTAAAGCTAATTTTTTCAGCAGCGTCACATGATCCTTCAGAAATCATTCTAGTACTCTGATTTGGTGCTCTAGAAACATTTCTTATTGTCAATGCTGAAAAGAGTTTTTGCTGCTGAATAGCATAAGAGATTTCTTTCAAAAACATTAAGAAATCTTAATTATTCCATTCATTCATTAAAAAATGCTAATAAAATGCTATTAAGGGATTCAATCAATAACTTAAATGGAAGTTAAGTATGGGTTTTAAAGTGTTAAGGGTGGTATTTAAAGAAAAATTACATTATTGTTGGCAAAAAGTTGTCATATAGTTCCAAAGGCTCTAAATATTAGCGCAAGATTAATTGAGAGTTATGTCCCAAATGAGGCACTATACACTATGCACTCTACCATCTAGTGTAAGTGCTATTTTGTCATTCAAACATTGAAATTTAGCCCTACCCCCTGCAATACGCAAGGAAAGCTGCAACAGTGTGCATGAAGAGTCCAACATTCCACACACTTTTTTTTGTTTTGTTATCTCTGCTTAATTAAGTGCATTATCCGGGTATTTAAAGTGCACTTTTTGGGAACTTTCAGTGTAACCACATTTCTTACACTATTTATGCTACAAAATGGCATAGAAACCTCAGGACAGTTTTACAAACTTTTTGAAAGACGATATTTGGAGGTCCTCGTATCTAAGCTTATAATTTGCCTCTGGTGCTTCTGTTGTAATAAAAATAAATAACCTCAAAAATATGATGTCAATCAAGTAAGTAAATCAATATATGAAGAATTCAGATCACAGAGTGGGAGTGGGGATGAAATAAGTCCAGTTGAGATCAATGGGAAATGTCTGTATGTCCACGAAAAGCACCTGGACTGGAGACCTGAATCAGACTGAAGGTGCTAAACACTGGCAATATGCCATAATCAATGACTGTCATGGAGAATGTGGGGCGAGTGTCCTACTGTATGTTCAGCACCACTAGCATCAATAAACAGAATTAAATGTGAAAAGTTCAGCTTACTAATGGTTTAATTATACCTGATTCTGCATGGTGAGATAAGAGAAGATATTTTAAAATCCAAAAAAATAAAAACCTTAAACATCAGGTTACAAGATGGAAGAAAAGAAACCGAGAGAGAGAGATCAGTGGGTGGGCACAGGGACACGTGAAGCGTGACTGTTGCTTTAACCTTCGTCACTGGCCCCTGACATGAGGACAAGACTTGAGCAGCTGCTGTCTTACCGTCAAGCATCCCATAAGGCTTTGCTCAAATGGCCGCTGGAAGGCTCGTGGGTCTCCACACCAGTCCAGTAGCTCCGTGGCCGCTGTCTGGAAATTTGCCGGATTCTGTAAGTGCTGTTCGAACAGAAGAAATCACAAATATTACAACATTAAAATCTAGAGGGAAAAATCAATATTTAAAAACTGAATTTTTAGCATTAAAAATAAACACCAAAAATATTTAAATATTCAACACTGTTGTGAAAACATAACCATAATACTTCAACATGACATGTTATCATCACATAAATATCACATAAAAATCATAATACTCTAATCATACTAAAACTTCACATGCAGGAACTCAAGATAAGCATAATATAAGTACGTTTACCCACCTAAAAAATAATTCCACTAAATGATGATTTAGAAAACTTATATAAAATAAAAAAACAAAGAAAGAAAAAGAAAAAAATCTCTTAGAGAAATTCTGTCCAAAATTAGAATATATAGAAATATCTTCTTTTATGTTCCACAGAAGAAAACCATACAGGAAAATCCGTTTTGATATATAACTTGATATTTAATATATCATAAAATTGAACATAATAATTTTACAACAACTATTACTTATTAATATATTCATATTAAAACTGCAATTAAAAACTCTGAAACGTGTGTGTTCTTATTTACATACTGAGGGACATGTCAAAATTTATGTGAAAAAAATAATATAATTTAGACTTTGTTCTATTCTAGAATATTTCTTTAAACAGACAGAAGCACTTGAAAACCTGCTGAAAAATATTTAATGAATATATATTAAAAAAAACTTTTGAGAGGATGTGAACCAAAAAACAAATCATTCAACTGATTCTGCTCCTTTCTGAATCATATACCATATTCCTTATACATTTTATGGCATATTGACAACCAGTATTCGACAAGGGGTGGTATTTTGTTCTTAAAGTGGATATTGTTTTCAGTCAGCCAAGTGCTCCAACTCCTCCTGCCCTTTGACTCGGTGCATCTGCACAGCCCTGCAAGAACCCAGCCGGTAACCCAAGGCCTCCTGGTCTGAACGCAGCTGTGCATTCTGGGACAGATCCACTCTCCTGACAAAGAGCTCAGTGTGCTTCAAGGCCTCCTCACACACCTAGTGCGTCCTAATCCAGACTCTTCATCATCTTTTGTCCACTAAGATGTAATAGATCTGCACCTCTGAAAGCATTACTCAAGCAGAGCCGGCCAATAAGGCGAGCACAAGAGGGGGGGTTTTGTGGCAGAATTGAATGAGAAGAAGCTTATTCTCTTTTCTCTACGATTTTTTTATTTATTTATTGAGTGCCAAGGTTGTTTATCCTCCCCTCAGGACCGCACTCCCCCCACCCAAACTCTCCAGCGACCGGTGGCGCACAAGACATGACAAGAAATTTAAACAAACGAGCAATCTGTACTCCCTCTTCAGAGCCTTTGCACGTTTAATGCTCCAGCGCTGTTTGGCCGCTCTGAGGAGGAGACTGCACACTTTGAAGACCATTATACTCCGACGGACACCTCCTCTTCCCCGGCTCGCAGCGAGGAAGCGGCATTGTCTTCCGAGGGCGGCAGAGGTCGCCATCTGAATGAGCGAATTTGGTGTGTGTGTGTTGACAAAGAGCTCATCTGACAAAGAGCCAATGTCTACTGCCGCACAACCCCGCTGAGTAAATCCTGCACAGCATAAGGAATATGCGGGTAGAAAATGTTCCCCCTCTCGCCGCAAAAAGCTGGTGGAAAAGAATCTCCATTTTGAGGGAGGTGATTCTTTGTTTAAGCGGACATTCTGGTGTCTGGCTCTTACCACACGATTATCAGGAAAGAGAGGAGGGGATGGAAAGCTCGCTGTTGTGATGGTGGGCACTCAGAGCCGTGTGTCAGCAGTGAAGGGTTTTTGGCAGGATCGCAACACAGGTGTTAACGCAACAGCAGCCAAATCTCAGCACTCCACCTTTCCCCTGCTAAGCATGTGGTGTCCAAACAGGACCTCTCCACCTCAGGGCAGCTCTGTGTGTTATGATCAGTCACTCCAGAGGCATTAAAGTCATGTTGCTTGACCAGGCCTGAACATCTACACTTCTGATCATCTATACTACAATATCACTGTATTACAGTCAATAATAAGTCAACGGAAAATAAGATTTTTCTTGCTTCTTTCTTGCTGTCCTCCCAGTCCAGTTTTAGGAACTAAGCAGCAAAAATTAATCGTTGTGAAGTAATATGTCACAACCATAAGAATATCCACATACACAGTTCACACACGGAAAACCTATTAACGTACACTCTAAAAAATGCTGGGTTGTTCAACCCAACTTTGGGTCAAATATGGACTAACCCAACTTTTGGGTTAAAAATTTAATGTAAAAATTTAACCCAACGGCTGGGTTAGTCCATATTTGACTCAAAGTTGGGTTGAAACAACCCAGCATTTTTTAGAGTGTAGGATTTCTAGGCCTATTTTATATAAACACATATTTATGATATATTTATATAATTTTAAATAAAAAAAAAATATATATATATTCTTGTACTGGTGCAGGAAACGTGATAAAAAGTTAAAAAATAATAATAAAAAGTACAGAATATGACTCTAAATTGACTACATTTTTAATTACTAAATTAAGAAAATAAAACTCATATTAGGACATTTTATGGAAAGGAATCTTCAAATTATTCAAGTCGCACTCAGACAAAAGACAAAAAAAGAAGGTCAGGATCTTGAAATCTTAAGGGCGATTTCTCTCATCAGCTAATCTGTCATAGGAAATCTCTGAGCACGAGCTCATTTCATCAGTCCTACACAGGACATGGACCATGAATAACCGCCTCCTCCAGTATCAGAATACTCTTCAGCAAATTTGTCTTCATGTTCCATGTGAATGATAATTTCTTCTTAAGAAGAAAAAGAAAAGAAAGACTGTCTAATTAAACTGAGTCGCTGTGCCATGTTTCACTTATTATTTCTAATCATTAAATTCCTCCTCATGCTCTTGATGGAGAATGAGCCAAGAGAATTGTTCTGATCATCCGAACGTTTATCATGCATTCAAAGGTAAACACTGTGAATGATAAGAGTTTTCGTTTTACTTAGCAGAATAAACTGAAGCTCAACAAATAGGAAAAAGAAAATGGGGACACTAAGCTCAGACTCCACAATTTTACTAAATGTTCTGAGTATATATATATATATATATATATATATATAAAAGTATATTACTAAACTGAATTGTTTTGTTTAATATACAGTTAAAATTAACAAAAATTTGTAGGACAAATTGATCTGGCTGAGCGTGTGATTCGGTTCAATGCACCACTTCGACTTGAGTTGATTGTGATGTCAGTCTGCTCCTCTCAGACAGAAGAGGATCTCATTTTGTGTGATTGACAGCTATTGGCTGCCGACTGCTCAGTGTGCGGGCTTTAACTGCTGGTGAGGAAGCCCGCGATGGGAAAACAGAGGAAATCTGTAGGAAGGGCTCTGTAAATGAAAGTCAGATGGCAGTGCAAGAGTCTGGCAGTATGAGGATTGAAAAAAAGGCAAAGAAGTCAAGAGAGAAAATGGTCCGTTTGATCGACATTACAATCACAACATGCTGATGGCTTCATGTGGGTGTTAGTCATGAGATTGGACATAATGTTTTACACTACTGTCATTATAACCAACTGAGTAAAGTTGAGGGAAGAATAGATTGTATGACAGGCAGGCGTATGATTGAGTGACAGGATGACAGAATGATGAAAAGAGGGAAACGGGACAGAGAGGAAGGAAACACCCCTATTAGATCGAAAGAGTATCAGGTTTTTGACATATTGATGTCACAAACAAGAGAACGCTTAGAAATTGTCAAGGTACTGGCATTTCCATATAAACTAGAGGTCATTTACATATGGAAGTTTTAAATGTACTACTGTGTTCTGTGCAAAACTTTATTACTGTTGTTGCTGCAAAAAACCCTGACTAAAATATTATGTGGACATAACATGATAAAGTATACTTTCTCTGCTTAAATTGAGCTCACTGGGACAAAAGTCCTGGCAGCTAAACTGACGACTTTCACCACACTAAATGTGCCATATCAATATGATTAACGAGCAGCAATCGATTGCGTTTTGTCTTTAGCTTTAATCAGACTCAATCTGCTACGCAAAACAGAGATAACAGTGTCATTTGTAACCAATTAAATAGTCTCAGAAATTCAATGGATTCTTACATGCTGTAGACATGATCTTATTAGCACTAACACTTGCCTAATTGATGCAGAGACAACAAAGCCTAGCGGAAATCTGTGTGGACATTAAAAATGCTGAACTGTCTGTAATATACAAGTTGGCATGTCAAATATTTCCATAAATCTGTCGAGAGATGCAAAATGTCACACCTACACAGCACACTGCAATTATCCAAGTCTAGAATCACAAGACATAGCCTTGGGTCATACCTACTTGTGTGTAAGTCTGGCTATAGTTGTGTGTCATTTTTTACTTTTTCAAATGTCCTCTTTGATATATTAAAACATGAGGACATTTGAAGTGGTTTTCATAAACTGAAGTGCTCTTAAATCAGTCAAATCTTTGCTTTAAATGCACTGATACCCACTCATATGGTTTAGGGTTTAGAAACACTGTATAAAAGCATGAGTCTGTGACTCAGAAGCGAGTTGATCTGACAAATCAAAAGGGGAAAATGTAAAAAGTCTTAATTTAGGTATAGTGTTAGGTTTTGGGTTAACCTGTAGTCATTATACTCTACCATTCGAGTTTGGTGTTGGTAAGACTTTTTAATGTTTTTGAAAGAAATGTCACCAAGGCTGCATTTATTTTAAAAGAAAAAATACAGTAAAAACAGTAATATGGTTATCAATAAATATCATTACAATCTAAAGTAACTCTTTTCTATTTTAATAAATTTTAAAATGTTATTTATTACTGAAATGACAAAGCTGAATTTTTAGCAGTCATTATTAGTCTTCAGTGTCACATGATCCTTCAGAAATCATTCTAATGATGACTTGGTGCTTATTAGTATTATTTATTTTTTTTTTTTTTATTAAGTAATATAATTATTATTTATTATTATTATTGGCATTATGATTATTAGAAATATTATAGAGAAATGTATATGTTGAAAACAGCTGTGCTGCTTTCCAGTTTTGTGAAACTCCTAATAAAGCTTTTTCAGGATTCTTTGATGAACAAAGTTCAAACATTTATTTAAAATGCAAATCTTTTGTAACATTACAAATGTTTTTACTTTCATTCTTGATCAGTTCAGTGCGTCATTGCATAATTAGTTCAATTTAAAAGTAAAAGAAGCCTATGGCATGTCTGCATTTGGACAGCTAAATAGTGTGCCTATGTTTGTGAACACAAAAACAAGCGCCGGCTGATAGGGGATGCTTGGAAAACAACAGGAGGAGGACAGCAGGGTTCAGACTCCAACCATATTCGGCAACCTGATATGAGCCAAGCTAATGGAAAACTACAGATCGCCATCAGAGAGGCAGCAGGAGACCCTGGAACAATGAACAGACAGACAGACGGATGGTCATTGTGTCACTGTGCTTCTTTTCTCCTCACCTGTTTGATGCACAGCAGCCTGTCATTGGTCTGCTGTATGTGCCTGTCCATCGAAGGAATTGAGTTCATCTTGACTGCTGCCTCCTTCTCTCTACCTGGAAGCCATTAAAGTTCTTCTCTCTGAAAAATGGACAGACAAAGAGAGGAGTGTGTCAGGCTGAGAGAAAAACGGTAGAGCACTTCAGCGCAAATCTGCGATCTCCTCACACGCTCAACGAGGCCCTGAAAGACACGGAGCGCTCAGATGACATTTCAGTAGTGGGTGAGGAGGAGCCGTCCCATCCATCTTTCATGTTGACAAAGTCGCTCCAGTATAACTTTGACACTCCTCTCAGTTTCTTACAAGTACAACTGTGATCTTCAAAAAATGCTGGCAAAATAAACAGCACAACTCAGTAAGGATGGAGCAGAGAAAGTATGTGTGCTGAAAAGAAGAACTGTGACCAATTAAACTCCAATCAGACCTCTGCAAATGCCTGAACCCCATCAGTGTGCCTATTACATGCTGTTAAAGGTATCAGGCCTTACATTCAAGGTTATCAATTTAGCCGCTGCAGGCTGATTTACAGTTGTGTTCACTGGCAAATAAACACGAGGCCCCGTAACCGGCGCTGTAACTCACTGCGCTGACATGCGGAAGGATTAATTGGTGAGGAACGGGAGCGTCAGGACTTCATCTCTCATCTGGCCACTTCATAGCCATCACTCTTAAAATTCCAAGGCACAAATGTGGGAAAAAAAAAAACAGGCAGACGGCAAAATTCCCCCCACCACCCACTGCAGCGGCCTGATAAAGCTCTCTTCAAATACTTTGGCTGTGTGCGTGACAGGCCGGGGAGTGTCTCTGGCTCTCAGGAGGGTTAGATAGTGCCCTATATATGTTAAAGCAGACAGTGCATTTCAGGAAGTGATGTCGGGACAGGTATTAAGAGTGCTTTCTTAAGCTCGCATGAAATGTTTAAGCATGTAAGTCACGGATGAGGCAATATAGGCCTGGTACCTGCATAATGGAAGTGTGCTGAACTCACAACCTCAAAGTCATACAAAAGCATGACTTGCTCCCATTTTAGCCAAAAATCTCCAGCTAATGTGCAAGAGATGGAAAACACTGCAAAACAAATTATATATTTATCAGTATTTGTATTGAGTAAAAAAAAAAATACAATAATTCTCAAAAAGAATCATAAGTATATTATAAAACATTCTATCCTATAGAAGCAAACCCTATCTATCCTTTTTTCACCCAATTACCAATTTCTTTTTCTTTTTTCAAAGCATAAAAATTATATTTTCTTAGACAAGTCTCTTATTCTCACTAGGGCTGCATTTATTTGATCAAAAATACAGTAAAACAGTAATATTACGTATTTAAATTAATATATCCTCAACAATGCTGACTTAAATAATTTCCCTATTCATTTTCCAAAAAAAAAAAAAAAAAAATTTGAATTGTAGTGCATGC